TCACTCGGTGTAGCTATGACAGACATTGAAAGTTTTTATGAGGTGAGGTCACTTCAAGTGACCTGGTGACCTGACCTTGAATGACCTTGGTCTGAAATTTTCACAACATGTGTAGAATTGATGTATGATAAGGTGTACCAAAAACGGCGGCGCTCCGCGCCGCCGTTTTTGAGATATTCGCGAAAAACCACAAGGGGGGGTGTTCAAACACCCCCCCCCCCCAGCAGGGCGCGGGTTAAGGTGACCTGTGGCTTAAAATTTTGTGTGAAGGTGTCATATTGTTGCTCGGGAAGGTACTTAAAATTTGGCGGCGCTGCGCGTCGCCGTTTTCTCGCTATTCAAGAAAAACCACAGGGGGGGGGGGGCAAATGCACCCCCCGTCAGGGCGCAGGTTAAGGTGGGACGGTCACTTTCACGTATTTAGAAGCTGTTGGTGAAAAACGGGAGATAATTACCTGTAGAGAATTGATTGAAGTTTATTGTGACAAAGTTTCAAAAAAATCGGTCGGAAAATTTTTGAGATATCGAGGTTTTAGTGACGTCATGATTTCCGAGTTTTCGACCAAAAACGGCATATGTTCAAAAAATCATATAAAATCACAAAATATGCCTACAGACATGCCGTAAACGCCATTAGACTGCCAATACCATGAGCATTCAAATGGATATCTTCGAGTATTGATTATCGTTCCGCATTTTCCAAAATCTTGAACTGAATCTTGGCAATTTCTCGTGACTACTTCACGACCATGATACCTACATGCATTTCTTAAATTGAGCTTTTTGAACCAAACACGTACACATATTGAGGATTATCAATAGACAGGTGTGATATATTATAGTGCATGTATGGCCTAAACTTTTGAATTTATTTTAAAAGGGGAAAAAACGCAAGAAATTACCCTTTTAAAATAAATTCAAAAGTTTAGGCCATACATGCACTATAATATATCACGTACACATATGATAAAATGAATGTCACCATCGTGTTCTACGCCCAAAACTGCCTATTAAACATGTGTCACGGGCTGCGAATATCAGTTTTGATTTTCGGGGATATGTGCCTACCCGGTTGACCTGCCCTTGACCCTGACCTATGCTTGACTGACCCCTACATGGAGCTGACACTTTTGTAGGCCTTACAAAAAGGATTCTGCACCGTTTTGACAGAGTTTATGACGAGAGCCGCCCATTGCGAAGTCCTGAAGTCCATGCTACTGAAAGCCCGATTTCAGGTGTTTGACCTGACCTTGACCCGACCTGTGACCTCAAAATTCAACTTTAAAATACTCATCTGAAGCGTCTCGTCGCGTTCTTTCGTTTGCCTTCTCGTGCGTTTCGCTGCGCCTATTGGTTCTCGAGTTATCGGCTGGGGGCGTTTAACGCCCCCCCCCCCCCCCAGCAAACGGCGGGTGGCGAAATACCCCAGCAACTGCCGCGTTAATTGACCTGATTGTTTTGCAGATAGACAGAGGTAAACTAAAAAGGCATCCAGCTGTCGCGGTTCTGTACCTAGTTCCCCGATCAAAATCCCTCCAATCGTGGGCCATCCAGCACAGTAAGCCGCCCAAATCATCTAATGAACAGCCTGCTAATGCGACGCCGGTTTAGTGGGCCGCCGATTCCGGTGCCGGCGGCGATGATCGGAGCGGACCGTCCCGACGGTCGGCCCGACTCCCACGTGGAGACCGGGCCTCGTCACCGTTCAAAAGGAGGCGCACCTCGCTCAGTCAGCGTCAGTGTCGTCCGTCCCGGCGTGACCAGCGCATCTATCTGGTCACCAGCGGCGGCTGAACTGACCTGACCTGACCGGCGCCGTCTCACACCGCTGCACAGGTGAGCAATATCCGACGCTGCTAAATCATACAAGCTCCAGACAAACTTCTGTACCTATCATGACACATCTATGCGATTGCAGTCTTGCAGACTTCATTGCCAATTCAGTGATAACATCTTATAATAAAAAATGCAATTCTGAAATTGAACTAAAGGATACCTAACTAACATACTCATAAGTATACTTTGATATATGCTGATGTGCTAAGCAGCTTGACGTTTTTTACGTAACAGGCAAATAAAGGGTGAAAAGTCACATATCGAACCGTATACGGCTATGGGCAGTTAGTCACACTCGAAAATTGCGTATTTGGAACTTTTCATGATGGCTGCATAGCCGACTTAGTGAGCTAACCAATAGCAAAAGCGTTGTTTAGCCGTACTGACAGGCGACAGCACATAAACACGAAAATTAGCTTAACCCTCACCGGCCGAGGGAGGGGGGAGCGGGCGCCGCCCCCATAGTTTTTTTTTCGCGATATCTCCGGACATGCCGGCGATAGAGAGCTGAACCTGGGCATACTTGACCTTTGATTCAAGCCGGATCTTTTGACACCAGCCGCATTTTAAGGTCAGGTCAGGTCACTGACCTATGACGTCATAAGTGAACCTCTGCACGGTCTTCAGATGTCGCAACTTCGCAACGCCCTCACTGCCAGAGGAGCTTTCACAGGGAAATGAAACTTGCAAGATCTAGTATTCATTAGAAGTCTCACAAGTTGTATATCTCGGATTTTTCCTAAAGTTCATATGAGGTCAGGTCATTTTCGTGACCTCACTATTATAAGTCAATGGGGGAAAAATGAAAACTGCTATTCTGGAGCCGGGAACGATCTCCAACTATCTCAAGCGGGTTCCGGACAAAAAGTCAAATGATAAAAGGTAAAAGGATGATTAGTCAACAGACATTACGTCAAAAGCAAGAAGTCAAAAATCTTAAAAGTCAACAGGTAAAAGGTCAACAAAGAGGAAAGTCAAAAGGCAAAAAGTCAAAAAGGATAAAACGTCAAAAGATAAAAAGTGAAATTGCCAAAAAGTCAATGAACAAAAAGTCAACTAGCATAGAAGTCAAAAGACAAAAAGTCAAATGGACATAAGGTCAAAAGACGAAAAGTAAAAACGGCAAAAAGTAAGCCACCAATGGACTCAGGAAGACCTGCCGAATCGAATGATATGCGACATGATCTCCTTTGACCAATTTCGTGACCGGGGAGAGGGGGGACGCTGACCTGACCGTGACTCGAGGTCAACACCCTAAGTTGACCTCACCCCAAACAAAAAGTATATCATTTGACGCGCCTGAGCAAGGCAAACACGATGCTGCCGACATTGCGGCTCTGCGACAGTTTTTTGCGAAGCTATTTGCCAAAAACAGAACCGTACCTTGGGGCACTTGACCTGACCTCAGAGGTCACTGGTTGTTCTAGGACATTAAAATCGGGTACAAATCTCTGCGTCTCGTAACGGCGCACACGCTCGTTTTTTCCGCGACGCGCTAGCTCCAGCAGGGGCGAAACGGCGAGAGGGGTCGTACCCGCCCCCGCCCCCTCGGCCGGCGCGTATGTAGAAAACCAATAGGTCCGGCGAGGGTTAAGTGTTCCAAGTTGTTCCACTCCACGGCCTTGTTCAACTAGAATTTTGCACATCCGATCATTCACGGTTGTTCGTTTCTGCAATGGCTCAGATACGGATAAGTAAAAAGCCAATCACTACTGTAATTACTAGTTTTTCAACACTAAATTGGCCGGATGAGCAAAGATGTTATATACGTTGTCAAAACTCTTCTGGGTGCTGCTGGCAAATCAGACAAATGAAACAAAATCTGTAAAATCCGGCTAGCACACACCTGTCAAACAGTGTCCGGCATTTCATTCATCGGATGAAGATCCGACAGTCAACACATTGCCTTCCGTCGCGTTGGTCTTTCTAGCGCTTACCACACGGCCTCTAATTTGTAAAGTAATATTGAGAATGTCCATGGCGTGCATAGGGTTTATAGACACCGTGGATGCTGGAGCCTTTTGACTCGCGAGCGTTTTCCTCGACGCAGCTGTTCCGCTGACCGGAACCGTATGGTTTTCCGAGTGTCGTTTTCTCCGGAAACCAAACACCGCAGACCGCCACACGGACGACGGACGATCGGACGCAACGGCCCCATGTCTGCCCGTTTCCGGCCGATAAGCGCGAGTTGTGAGCGGTGGTCACACAATGTTTACAGCTGATCTGGATACCGGCCAGCCGGTTCCTGGAAACCGACTCAGGAGTCGTGGTCTACCTGAAATGGTTACACACCTACCACATGATGTAACAGACATTATCACGTCCCATCCCTATGGCCCAGATCGCAGATAGGCCGAGATCATCGGGCATGGCACGATGAAACGAGAACTAAACACGTCATCTTCCTTCCTGTACGAAACAATGGACGCATGGACATGCATGCCGTGAATGCATCGCTCATAACATTTAGGGTTATCGCTGTATGTCAGTTTCTCTTGAAGGAAGTGTTAAAATAATTGAATGAAAGACCATTATTTATCGCAAGTTTCAGCTAACAGTCGCTGAACTGTGACTGTATTGTTCTTTTTTCTACTGTCTGTACAGATGCCTGGTCTTCCGTCGATTCTCCTGTTCGTCGTAGCGACGGTAGCCAGCGGCGAGAACAGCCTCGTTCGAACAGTGCCACAATCACGCGAATTGCTTCAACTGTCAGCGGATGAGCCGATACCATCTTCACCGCTGACTAGAGTTCTGCACGGCTGCAATTTTCCACAGCCTAGCCACCCCGCAGCCGTGGCTCCACAGCCACAGCCGCCCACAGCCGTGGCAAACTGTGGGCAGCCAGCCGTCAGCCGGCCGTGGATACTTTCAATGAAATGCATCCAAATAGTATATAATAAGTTGTTTTTAGTTGAAACATATAGCCAAAAGCACATTGCAATGGGCTATAGATTCTCAGGCTCATGAAGCATCATAGGTTAAGTGGTTGTGTATATGGCTTTAAGCCGAAGGCCTGAAGCCTGATGCGCATCGCATGCCTTCACAAGCCCTTGCAAGGGGTTAAGAAAGATGGGTAGGTAGGTACCTACATCAACAGAAAACATAAACAACGAACCAGAATAGAAGCACTAGCAGTGTAGACATCTAATGCCAAATCCTGAAGCATGGTTGTGGGACAGAACGACAGACCCTGATACTTTCCATTATCAATGTTAGGTATGGAAAATGAAACTGAAGTTGATGGACTGTCAAACAGTGATTGCCTAGTCAAAACTCTTGCTTCTTTCTTACCTTGCATATTTTCTGGGGTGTGATATGCCAGGCTTGAAGCAGCCTTCTGAGCAAGTCTCTAACTAATTTGATATGCAAGGCATCAAAACACTAGTGAGCATCCAAGAAAGAAAAACATTCATCTATTTTGATTTTTCCAAATAATGATCTTCGCTCAAATCCCCAAGGTCGTGCGAGCCACAATTGCCTCTTTTAATCAAAAATTTCACTTGAGTTTTTAATGACGTCAATAGCAAAGAAGTGGCAATAAATTGTTTTGTGTCACTATAAACAGCCATAAAAATTATAATCAATAAATAATAATGCTAAACAGTAAAACTTGCTCTCAAACAAAGATTAATTATCAAATTTTTACGTTTTCAAAAGAAGACGTCATTTTATTAGTAAAGTCAACAGCTCGCGTAAGAAATATTGTGTTCAGGGTTTTCACCATCATGTGAATTACGTGTTCAGGGTTTTCACCATCATGTGAATTAACCGTAAGTAAGGTTCATGCTCACTTATAATCTAATTCCATTGGCTTCGTTGATCAGCATTTTCTGTTAGCGGTCACTCACACACCAGTTAGAACATAAAGCGCCAGTTTTATATTATGTAATTGGACTTGCCGAAAATCAAGAAATACATCTAAGAGTTATTTTAGATAATATTTTATGAAGCCTTTACCTGCCTTTACCTAGACGTGATTTCTTTTTCTTTTACCTGAAAGAATTATTGAACGCTCGTCTTCAATAGCTGTAAGGTGCTCTCCTAATGACCAGGTGAGATTGATTTGAGAGGGATGTGACAATGCAACATATTGCATTTTCTGAAACTGTCAAGCTCTTAAGATGATGAAGGAACAATCGGTACCTATAATTAGTATTCTGTACCAGAGTGCAAACTCCCCTACAGCAAATGGTAAAACCATTACAGGTTTTTAAAGGCTTCACCACTTTCAATGTTGCTGGGCATCCTTTGCATGATTTTTACAGGCTAGACTGCTTATCAGAATGTAAGATTGAGGATTTAAAATTTTATATTTGAGTACTTAAGATTGAGCTTGAAATCTCACAGCCGTGGCCACAGCCGTAGCCGTGTTCTTGGAGATATTTGCAGCCGCCCCGGCCCACAGCCGTGGGGCTGCAGCCAGCCGCGGCTGCAGCCGGCCGGTGCAGACCTCTACCGCTGACCGACTACCAGCGCCTCTTGCGGCGGCCCGAGGAAGCTAGCCGACCGGCGCACTATGGTTGGAAACGGCCTCACGGATGGCCGTGGGCAATTTCGGAATTTATGTATATTTGGGGTGTCATTCTGTTGGAAATTGATGAAATGTTTTGAATTGGGCAGAAAAAATTATTTAGTTGCGCATTTAGTCTCCATTATTGTACGTGGAATCGGGAGTTTCTGATAGTGGCTTTTTTGGTGCGCCGTCAAAGGTTTAAACAACCGCGCTGGTGATAGCATGTGGAGTACCTCCATGACGTTGTAAAACTGGATTATTATATATCAAAATAATCCTTGTTATGTTGGCTATCGAGTGGAGTGACTCTTTTTCCCATGCGTGTTCAAAATCAGGAACGGCATTGCATTCTGTTTGCAGTGTCACCACAGCAATATTTGCAAAATTACGTTTATGTTTCATTGGACATACAAAAAGTTCTCCATCGACCTCCATTGAGCTTTTTGGCAGAATAAATCTCTGTTCAATTCTGCGTAAGGGGAACGTAAAAGCAGACTGCGCACTTGTGCGCAAAATCGTCCGTGAAGCTTCATCTCCCGAGGCGTACCTACCCGTCGCTTCGTTAGCACCAGGTCGGCTCGTCAGTCTTGCAATCGCTTATCCTTATAAATGATGGTAAGAAGCAGGTTTGCGGAGTCGTGGTGGCGCCAACTCCGACTCCGACTACGACTCCGACTCCTGACTCGTTGCCATGACTCCGGCCGACTCTGTCTCCGACTCCGGACCCCTGCCAGTGTTTCGGAGTCGTGATGGAGCTGTTCCGATTCGGACCGACTCCGACTTCCACTGCGGGCTCCTGACCGACCCCGACTCCGACTCCGACTCCTGGCTCGTTGCCACGACTCTGGGCGACTCTGACTCCGACTCTGACTCCGACTCTGACTTCGACTCCGCACCCCTCGTAAGAAGTAACTGCTCGCCCCTGCACCTGGAGTATGGATATCGTGCAAACGTGTATGGATATCCTGGAGTATGGATATGGATATCCACCGACAGAGCAGACATACAGACATGCTGTAAACGCCATTACACTGCCAATACCATGGCAAATCAAATGGCTATCTATGGTTTTTGATCATCGTTCTACATTTTCCAAAATCTTGAACTGAATGTTGGCAATTTCTCGTGACTACTTCACGACCATGATGCATGCATTTCTAAAATTGATCTTTTTCAACCAGCCACGTACTCGTATGATAAAATGAATGTCACCATCGTGTTCTACGCCCAAAAGTACCCATAAAACATGTGTCATGCATGGGCTGCGAATAGGTACCAGTTTTAATTTTCGGGGTTATGTGCTTACCTGATTGACCTGACTTTGACCCTGGCCAGTGGCCTATGTTTGACTGACCCCTACATTGATCTGACACTCTTTTAGCACTTATATGAAGGGTTGTGACAGTTGTGACAGTTGTGACAGATTGTTTAGGACCAACTGATGACTGAATTTGTTTAGGACCAACTGATGACGATATAATCGAAACGCGAAACGCGAGGCACCGATTGCGAGGTTCTAAAGTCCATGCTACTGAAAGCCCGATTTCAAGTGTTTGACCTGACCTTGACCCGACCTGTGACCTCGAAATTCAACTTTAAAGTATTCATGTGAATCGTCTCGTCGCGTTCTTCTTTCGTTTGCCGCGCCTCGTGCGTTTCGCTGCGCCTATTTGTTCGCGAGTTATCGACTGGGGGCGTTGAACGCCCCCCCCCCCCTCCGGCAAACGGCGGATGGGGAAATACCCCAGCAACTGCCGGGTTAATCTGACGCATGTTTTGTCATTTGATCGTCATTTCAAAAAAAAAATCATAAATACTCTTTCTCCAAATTTTTGACCCTTTATGACCAATAGTAAGACACTGTGCGTCACTACGTTGATATTTCTCGCCCTAAAGCATAACAACAATATCCATTCAGTAATAGCAGTATTCAAAACATGTTCAAAATGCCTAGCGATATCGATAACATAACGAAAGACATAGGCGACTTATAGCATACTTGCAATGATGGCGTCACACACGCGTGACGTGACGTGACCTCGTCATTTCTGAGTTACTGTATGATGCACGAAAGACACTGGTATATCTATGCAAAGTTTCATCGCAGTCGGTCTACGCATTAACAAGTTATGGGCAAAACATTTTTTCGCGTTGACCCCCGGCCATCCGTGAGGCCGTTTCCAACCATAGTGCGGCGGCGGCGCCTCAGGGCCTATTCAGCCCCTGGTGGGTAGGCCGGCCCGCTACACTCAGCAGCGAGAAACAAGCTCGGAGGTCGGGCGGCGGCGCCAGAGAAGCCAATTATCTCGCCACGCGTCCCAGGCGAACGGAACATCAGGGCGAAATCGACTCGGAACACCAGGGTGCAACCGACTTCTTCGTGTTCGTCTGTGGATCAGAGCTGACTGACCTAATTGAAAACGCATGCCACTTCCGTAGACGTCGAGACGGGCGCGCCGTCGCTAGCACCATACTCACGCGTTTGCGTCACGCTGGTATGTCTTCTATGTCACAGCATGTAGTGTCTTTCTTTTTTTATTACATTATACTTTTACGTCATCATACGGCCCATTCGAATATCGCATTCGCTTCTGATCTAATAAGCTTTCGCAGTCTCATTGCCTTTTAAAGGGACCCTCCCACCTTCAAAAAAGTTAATGAATTGGCATGAAAGTGATGTCCTTTGGTTCAGAAAGAGCGAAAACGAATATCTACCAAATTTCACCGAAAAATATTCACTGGTTTTCAAGATATTAGGCTTTTACTTTTGTTTACTTTTTGGGATCTCCCCTGTTACTAGCGACTTTATTTGGAAGCAATAATTTGGCAGCCTTAAAGTGCGGCAGACGTTGCGCGCAAAGCAGCGTATACCACCACGTGTTAACGATGGTTTTAGTCTAAGATTTAAAAATCGGTAGATCTCCGCTGACGTCACAAATTCTAAGGGGGTATTCCAATGCATTAGCCCCTTAGAATCCGAAAACTGCAAGTTTGAAATTCCATATTTTCGAATTAAAGCATTTTTCGATGTTGTGAGTGCCCAAACCGGTATTTGCAGGCCATGGCCACCAATTTGGCTATCTCAACTCAAAACTAATGTTAAGGTGGGAGTGTCCCTTTAACTTTTATACGATGGAGCAAATGTTGCAGCGATTGATACGCATTTCATTGACTGGTGTCGATGATTTGCAGGCGAGAGGATAGTCGACGCCTGCTGCCGCAGAAGCTGCCGGCTTTCCGAGCTGCGGGCCTTCATCACATCGACCTGTGAAGTATCTCTGGATGACCTCCACCGACACGCAGCAAGGTTCAGGTAGGCGTGCGCCGTATGCTGGGTGGGTATGACCACGGATAAAACGGACAATGCCGGTGGATAGAATATACAAAGGTGGATGGTAATCTGCATGCAGGAATAAGAACTATAAAATAGTGACACTTCAACAGACTGCCGATTAATGCTTTTCTGGAGAATTGATAAGAAGCGAGGCGTTCAAATTTTATTTTTGATATTGTTCATTCGCTTCTTCCAAAGATTTAGCCGTAGCTCCGTATTATTTTTTGAAGATGGGGGAAGTATGTAAGTATCACAACGTCTCAATTTCATTCAAATATTATTTTTCTATGCATATAAAAGTTCCTATATAAGCTTAGAAAAAAGTACAAACTTCAACGGGGTTGATCCCCTGTAGTGTAGGTACAATATTTTATTTATGTCGGCCATTGGCCTCGCTTCATATGTCCACACCAAGCGGTATGTTTCGCAGGATTTCGACTTCTAACCCTGAACAGCCAGAGGCGCCGGTCACAGAAAGGACGGTCGTAGTCACGGTGAGTAAAATAGTGGTTTGGTTTCTGTGGACTATGGCGTGCTGCCTGCGCACAGAAACGTAAAAATCATTATGTTGATAATTTAATTACAAGGACAGCGTTAACTGTAAAATGGTCATTTTGCCTACACACTTCCCTTTGTTTCCATGACGTCTTTGCAATCAACATTAACAAGCTATACCTAACATGTAAGTGCGTATAACTTTTGTGTGTTTTGCGACTCAGTCAACCTGCGACCATCTGATGCAAAGAAGAGAAAACATGCCATGAGTCTCCGTCTAATCAACTCTTTCTTTCTGCTGCAGGCTGGCACGCCCCCTGTACACCTGCCGGTATTTGAGGACCCCGGTCCTCTCATTGATGGATTCCAGAAGCGCGCCAGTTATCCCGACGCCCTGGCCTGGGAAAAGGACCGTGATATGACCAGCTTCTTGGTGGGCTGACTGACACTACGGTGCCCATAAGCCGTCGAACCTCAAGAAGGCCCTTCCTTTTGTGTTATTATGTCTTTCATCGTGCATTCCTTAGGCGCATTAGTACGCTGAGCTGTGATTGCGTATTTCATACATACGCTGGTCTGTGATTATGCACGATGGGGGCGTAGATATTTTTGCAGTACAGTAAAAACGAATTCCGCCTTTTCCTGTTTGAAGATGACAGCACTCAGAAGACGTGACGACATGGGCAGACACGGAGCGTGCCATTTCTGGAAACCGAATAATGCCATGATGCTGTTAACACCGCTAAAAGTGACCCAATATTCCCTAGCAGACTAAAAGATATACGAAGACGAAGTAAACGAAAGGACAAGAGGGTGACTGAACTCTGAAAAGATAAAAAAGTTAGCCGATGTTGAAGCCAGCAGATGATGACAGCTTAGACCGGCCCGTGTAGGCCTACAAATGGGTATATTCATACAGCGAAGCAAACTAGTAATTTGCCTGGCTTATAGCCGCTAAATTCGTGTTTCTTTTTTGTTTTATTTTTTTTGGCAGCGTAGTTAACCACATTCTCCAATGTGCCTTTTATTGTCGACCTATAAAATGCTGTTGGCACTTGACTGAATTGACAACCGTTCATTGAATGTGTTTTGTCCGTATATAATCGGTACGTCTCTGAAGGGAATATTTTATTAAACGTTTGGTTTCATAGTTTATTTTGACGGTAGGATGTATTGTATGCAAATGCATTTAACTTTAAGGGAATCAGTAGGAACACAATTCCAAAAGGCAACACAAGAAACCCCATACACCAAATGAATTACAACCTATAGCAATACCCTACACATTAATTACATGCAAATTACGACTTGCGACATCCATCAACAAAGCAGCGCTCGTCCGAAGTTAACCAGCTCCTCCTTCATCCTGTTCTCGTCCACTTGGTCCGGCTGTGCGCTGTAGAGCTGCAGCATCAGCTGCAGCATGCTCATGATGAACTCGTCACCATTATCAGTTGGCTGAGAGATCAGCGGTGACGAGGTGCGGAGTGGGGAGCTGTGTCGCAGGAGGTACTGGTTGGCGAACGAGTACGGCATGCTCACCGACGACGGAGCCACGAACGGGAAGTGGAGCGGCTGTGACGCGCGGCGCGTGTTCATCATCGGGATGAGCACCTGCAGCCAGCCACTGGGACTGCCGGCTGTCGCCGTGTGTCGCAGCGGGGCGGACGGCGCCGGCGGTGGCGGCGGCGGCGGCGGCGTGGGGTACAGGTCGGGGAACAGGCGCATCAGCAGGATGTTGATGTCGCGCTGAGCGCTGCTCGGCTCGCCGATCCCGGTCATCAGCGAGAGGAACGTGCTCAGACTGAACGGGTCCGGCTGAGTGCCGGAGTCGATGGGGACGTTACACCGCTCTCGCAGACGCTGTCGCTCCACCTCGAGCTCAGACTTCTTACCGATCAGATTGATGATGAGCGTGTCGTATCGATTGATCCTGCTTTCCAACTGATGCCGGAGATTGTTCAGCTCGTCGGTGTTGTCTGGGAAGCGCATTCTAGCAGTAATAACCTTTTTAGAAGCATGGCACTCCTCGAGTTTACCACGCATAACAATGTTCTCCTGAAATAGTGACGACAGAATAAAGAGAAGAATTTGTTGTGCTTCACGAGTCTGCTCCAGTAGGCCGTTCAGGTCGTTCTCAAACTTGTGGTACGTTCTCTGTACCTTGCTGAGGTCCCGCTGCGCGGCGTTCATCGCCTCCTTGAGCGGCTGCAGATCCTGAATGATCACCCGCAGAGCCTCGCTGTACTTCTCGAACCCGATGCGGCGTATGATTTTACTCAACACCTGGGACATCTGGTGGCGAGTCTCCCTCTGACCGCCGTGAGACACGGAGCGTCGCCGGCGCCGCTTGTCGATCCTGTTAGCCCAGTCGCCGCCGTTGGCCGACAGCAGCATGCTGATCCGCTGTGAGTCATCGGCCTCAGACGGCTCGGGGGAGGACTGAACGCTGCGAGGGAACATCTCCGAGTCGGGGTTCCCTCCTCTCAGTGTCGGCCGTCCCCCGGCATTTCTTTCTGCGGCGGCCACCGCCCTCAGGTCCGCCTCCGACATACTCGGCCTGGGAAAGTCCTCAGCACCCGACCGGAACAGGTCCGGGTTCAGCAGCCCCAGACCGAGCCCGCTGAGGAACGACAGGTCGGGCAGGTCGCCAGGCCGCCGGGTGCCGCTGCTGGCTGGCGTGCGGGACGCCAGGACGCTGCCGCCCGGCATCAGCCTGTCCAGCAGCATCTGCAGCGTCTGGGCCTGGCTGTCCCTGCCGGGAGTCAACAGGTCGCCGAGGGACAGCTCGCTGGCGGGAGCAGCCACCCCCGGGTGGGTGTGGACGCACACAGTCGGCGCCGCGCTGACGCCGACAGAGGCCGGCGTCATCGCGCGCAGCGCCGCCAGCAGCGCCGGCAGCGGTAGGTACGACACCGGACTGGGCTCCAGACCGGGCACCTGTGCCGGGCTGGGTGCCGGAGCGTCTGGGGGCCCCTTCATCTGCGACAGCAGGGACGGCCAGCTGCGAGCCCTCAGCCGGCCGGTATCCATCATGTACTGGGGGCCCGGCGAGGTGCTGGGCCAGTACGGGGACGACCAGGTGCTGGCGCCGTGCGGAGAGGACCAGCTGCTGGCGCTGTACGTATCTGTGAAACGATTTTCGAACTATTCATCCAAATATCAAAAGGCAGGAAAATTAGCTGAAATTGATTAAAGTGCGACAAAAAATGCATTGAAATCATTCACGAAGGAAACCCAGTACCTATCCACTGCGAAGTACACCTACACGATATAAACGTTACCAGATTGTATAATGACTAACAAACATAAAATCAAAACATTTTATTTTAATCAAGCCTTATATTAAACGGACCCTCCCACTTTCAAAAAAGTTAATGAGTTGGCTTAAAAGTGATGTGTCGTGGTTCAGAAAGATAAAAATGAATATCTACCAAACTTCACCGAAAAATATTCACTGGTTTTTAAGATAATATACTTTTACTTTTGTTTACTTTTTGGGACCTTCGCTGTTCCTACGACGTCATTTGGAAGAAATAATTTGGCATCCTAAAAGTGCGGCAGAAGTTGCGCGCAAAGCAGCATATACCAACACGTTTTACCGACGGTGTTAGTAACTTTTAAAAATAGTTAGATCTGCGCTGACGTCACAAATTCTAGGGGGGCATTCAAATGCATTAGCCCCTTAGAAGCTGAAAACACAGGCTTGAAATTAAATATCTCCGAATTAAAGCAATTCTCGATGTTGTCAGTGTCCAAATCGGTAAGTGCAAGCCAGGGACCCCTATTTGGCTATCACAACTCCAAACTAAGTTAAGGTGGGATGGTCACTTTAAACGTTACTATGTGGACGACGAAGTTATGCAATATGCAGCCTTTTTCTTCAGGTACTTTGTCGTGTAGGTAAGTGTTGCTATTAACATCAAAAGAAACTGAATCGTTTATATTCAGCCTCTTAAGAAAAACACGTCATAGGTAAGCGATACGTATTCATGATTTTTTAAAAACATATTACTGTCGTTTAATCATAACCATCCCAAGAAATACCTTTGGACTAAAGACCCATAGAAAATGTATTGGAGAACTAAGAGAAGGGGCAACTTACATGGAATCGAGCGTTTTCGCGGTATCCTTGTGGCTCTCACTGGTCTAAACTCCATCAAACACAGGAGCAGAAAACATACCAAATAAAGAAACCGTTTTGGCTCCATGACACGGACGGCGTACCAATCTCTTCACAAGTGGTGACCTGATTGGTGTGGAGCGCCTTTTGAACCCCTCGGCGGCTGTTTGTAAATCGGCTGGGCCGCTGTTGGAGCCGGTCATGCTGCCGGAGGACCCGGGGGCACGTGCGCCCGGTCAGCAGTCCACAGGCCGTGACCGGGTACCGCCGTGAAACAATCGGCACAAACTGGAATACGGACCGGCGCCAATCAGCCACGTGCCGCCTACTCAGCGGTTTGGAGGCTGTCAATCCTTTCCGCATGGCCTCTTAAAGGTAGTGTGCCACCTTTGAAAGATTTCCCATTTTATTTTTCCTAGGATAAGAAGCTTCTGTTTTTACCTAATATCGCAAAGAAAATCAAAAATGGGCCTGGAATAGTGCCTTTTTCGCCTAAAAGTTTATCGGTTTTTCGATATGTATAACAACTGTAGTGGGCTGAGCTGCAAACAGGCGTCGGCAACAATCGCGAATGCGGCGCACATGTGACAATAAGCAAAGGTCATTATAGAGTTACGGCGTACGGGAATGAGTTATCAGCTGTCTAATCGTAGACAACACAATGTCGAGCCCTAAACTGTAAGCCTGTACTGGTAGGGGAAGGTGGGGTAAGACGGACCAGCTAAGGTTTGAGGCCGCGTATCTTTCTACACTGCTCTCGTAACTCATATGGTTTATAGTCTTCTGAATGCTCAATCCTTCCTCTTTTGATATGTGCAAAGACTGAATTTCAAAATAAAGACATCTAGGTGGTGGATGCTCTTAAAGGGGGACATGTCGAAAACTCAGACAAGAAAAAACGCGGGGTAAGACGGACCACCCAGCAGTGCCTGCTATCCATTCATGCTTGGTACAGTTCTAATCTGTACTCGAGTAAGTAGAGTGGTAAAATAACAAAATGAACCTTATTCTATACTCATATGTTATGGAAGTGCAACTAAAAGCTGGGAACATGTGTGTTGATTGTCGTTTGGCATGAATGCATGCTAGCTGAGCATTTGCAATGGTCCATGTGCAACAAAGATTCCTTCCTGAAGAATTGGCTTACTTAAACTTGTGTCAATGCTTTAGAAAAGAATTTTCCATGTGATGGGTACAATGGACCACCGCAGGGTAAGATGAGCCACAGTGGTCCGTCTTGCCCCAAATCTAAATTCTGTCATTATCATGACGTGTATGTCAAATAGCCCAACATTGCGAAACCTTGCCTGTTCTAAAGTGTGACTATAACCAAGTTTATAACTTTGTTCTTCACCGTAAAGTGCAAAATAGAAACTAATCATGCAATAAAGGCGCCGAAATTGAATTACCCGTAGACCTCTTATATTAGATCGGTTTGACGAAAAACAACACTTTTCTCAATAACTCGAATGCTATGCATCCTAGCCTCATGAGCTCAAGGTGGCCATTGTTACGAAGGGAAACAAAGGTAGTGACTAGTGAGTGCATAAAGCAGTAGATAACAGCAGCGGTTCAGCCGGGAGGGCTGGTGGTCCGTCTTGCCCCGCTGGGCCGTCTTACCCCACCTTCCCCTAAGTGGTATTGTTTCTTTTATTTGGCTGTCGAACATTATTCATGGTTTGAAATATGATTTTATGTAAAATAATTGATATGAAAAAGCCGTCTCTTAAGTTATGACCCCATTTCACCACACGCAAGTGGCAGAAATGACAATGATCAGCTGACGCATTTTTCTTGGCCGAAGTCAGAGCGCGCGGCCCGACGCACCACCACCGCACCACAAAGTATGAGCAGAAGCCGCGCCCAAAGCCAGGGCCCCGGTAACGTGAGGTAGCCGAGTCGGGGCAGCGTGCGCTGACCCAAGCCGGGGCCGCAGCTTTGGGCGCGGTCTACCGCATCCCCGCGGGCAGCCCCGGGCTATCACATGACACCGGGAGGACGCGCGGCCCCGGCTTGGGTCAGCGCACGCTGCCGCGACTCGGCTACCTCACGTTACCGGGGCCCTGGCTTTGGGCGCGGTCTGCCGCACCACCTAACAGGCGTGTTCGAAACCGCAGGAGATGATGATGAACGGGTTTATCGAAACTTGATTGGATGAGTATATCGGTAATAGCGATTTCAGTGTGTGCATTTATTGTTCATAGTGTTGTGAAATGTGGTTGGGGTACGACCGACAACCCGTCGGGGCGAATTTCGCACTGGGGTACTCAAAATTTGAAGAATTTAAGACGTTTCCATGCGTTTTGAAGGTATGGATAAGTTCTAAAAATCCGGTTCTCCTTATCTGGGCCATTAACTCCATACGGTCCAGGAAAGCTGGCACACTACCTTTAAGAAACGAATAACCTAGAACGGTGTTTTGGTAAATAGTTTTTTTTTTCGTCACTCAGCTGTTTTGAAGCAAAGGCGTAAATCCTAGGACAGTGGTTCCCGAACGCTTGTTTCTGTTACTGTTAGGATCTGGCCTGTGAAACTGAAATGCCCAGTCAAAGTGCATTGACTCATAGTGACGTGTTTTCATAACAAAATGGTTACATTTAGGTAGACACTAGGGAAAAGTGCCTAATTAGCGACCCCTTCAATTTGAACTGTCACTGCTCACGCTGCATGGGTGCCACTGTATTACTGGATTGATTTTCTGTGAGATCATTTTCTATCAGAATGTATTCATTTTCTGCCCTAATATCTACAAATTTATTTGTAGTGACTTGTGAGCATTTTCGCAAACCATTGCAAAAAAAAAACGCTAATGGGGAACTCGTCCCGATTAGCGACCGGGGAGGGTCGTTGATAGGGTATCCCCATAATAAGCATGGCGAAAAATGTTACGCTCGAAAACATATAATAAGATACTTTAAATATAACAAATACGCAAAGCACTTAATCACTGGAACATGAGCATAATTTATCCAGCACGTTTATGAGTGTGGATTCGTGGAAACTGATCACGTAATGCACCAAAGGCGAAAAAAAGGCGAAACCCATTTTTTAGGGGGATGTCCCGCATTGTATTCGAGACCCGCGCTGGATTCAGCGCCCCTGCAGTCTGCTATGAGTTTGGAATCACTCACCACACATCGCAAGCTTCAGCAATTCCTCATTTTCCGTTCTCTTTTTTCCCATTCATTTCCCTTCTTGAGCTATTTGCGACCATGTCGGGCGCAAAAGGAAAATGGGTTGCTACACATTTTTGACCACCATGCAGTGCAAAGGTTAACGATTCACTGGCCTGGCCTTGACCCTAGGCCAGGCCAGTGCACACAAGAATCGTGATTTAACCCTTAACCCTAGCCGGCGCCCGGCACAGACCATTTTGCGTCCTTCGACAGCACAAGGGGTGGTGGTACGACCCCTCGTGTTTGGCCCCTGATTGAAATTGAGCTAGAGCTTCGCGGAAAAAACGAGCGTGTTTCCTGTGACGAGAGGAAGACGATGATACTCAATTTTAAGGTCCTAGCCCGCGCCCCGTAGGGCTACCGGCGGACCCTACCACCCGTAGGGGGGGGGGGGCGTTTCGGCCCCCCTAAGATCTCGGAAAGTTACCGGCCGATTTTCAAAATTCAAACGGCGTTCGATAGCCCCACCCGGGAACTACCTTGTGACCAAATTTCATTGACCTAGGTCAAACCGATAACGTCACAGGTCAAGTCAAAGGTCAGATTTTCACCGTTCACAGGCATTTCAAGAGATGTGTTGTGAAATCGAGTAAATTGGTAAGTTATTGAAAACCATCGATGGTACATTGTTCGTCAAACACATACTTTGCTATCTGAGGTCACTGATACCAGGTCAGGTCACAGCGAGGTCAGGTCACCGGGGGTCACATTATGAAAGTGTCGTGTGATACATGTTTTATGGTCCATTTTACATGACAAATGCGATTATGTGGGTTAGGCAGCCTTTGGGTCCAGCCTAGGTCACGTTTTGGTGAAGGTCAGGTCAAGGTCAGGTCAAATTAGGTCAAATTTCAAAGTTGATATTTTTGCATAAAATGGGTATTGATTCGATGCAGCTCGTCACGGGCAGTCCAATGGTGGTCTTTGTTTTGCTCTACGAGGTCTAGAATTGCCAAAAATTGAGTTTGAAAATTTGACGTCATCATTTTTGAACAGTTTTTTCGCTATAACTTGGCCAAAAAACGAGGTACCTATCGATCTGAAATTTGGTATGTAGATAGAAGACGGTAGGTACTATCACATATATTCCGGTTATTTCGAAACTCAAAAAACTTTTTGGATTTTTTGGCTGGAAGGTCAACCAATGACCGAGCCCGCGGCGCCCCGTAGGGGGGGGGGGCGAAACGGCCCCCCCACAGATATCCAAAAAAATGCTTTTTTGATTTTTGGGGGTCAAAACTAAAAAATTTCAAAAATCCGAGATAGCAGTTTTGTAGCCCTGTCAATTCTACACCTTTTATGTCTTGATCATTTTTTCTATATCCTCAAAGCTGTAGGCCTGACAGGTCTTCTCGCGAAGGCCTTTTTCGGTCGAAAATGACAGAACATGATTGTGGCCAACCTATCATAGCCTCTGGAATAATTTTTGGTCACAATGTGTAAAATTGATGCCCGGAGGGGTCCTGAAAGTTTGGTGGCGATATCTCCAGCCGTTTAGGAGATATCGACCGAAAAGGACAGGGGGGGCCGTTTCGGCCCCCCCTACGGGGCGCGGGATAGGTCATTGGTTGACCTTCCAGGTCAGATCAATGACCCAAAAGTCGGGAAAATCGAGACCTGTTAGAACGTCGTAAAGTGGGGCTGCTATGGGTGTTTTCGGGGTGCTGATCACGAATATCATGCTAGTTTTGATCACAGATGATGTCTTGATGTATTTAGGCCACGTCGTGTCAGGCCAGGTCAGGTCAACCAGTAGGGGTCCTGCCGGGTATTCGTAGTATAACGTGTCAACCACCTCTGACAGCTTTGTAACATGTTACGAAGGCACCAAAACTACTTCGTAAATGTTCAAATGGTTGCTAAATTCGAATTCAGCTCCAAAAACTAGCCTATAACATGTAAAACTCGTAAAAGTGGACTGAGGTCATCAAAGGTCAATAACCTGACCTAACCTTCAGGTGACCTTGAAATCCACCCTAATGCATGGGAGCAGCATCAAATCACATATTTAAAGGGACCCTCCCACCTTCAAAAAAGTTAATGAATTGGCACGAAAGTGATGTCGCTCGGTTCAGAAAGAGCGAAAACGAATATCTACCAAATTTCATCGAAAAATATTCGCCGGTTTTCAAGATATTAGACTTTTACTTTTGTTTACTTTTTGGGATCTCCGCTGTTCCTAGCGACTTTATTTGAAAGTGCGGCATTTGTTGCGCGCAAAGCAGCATATACCACCGCGTGCTACCAAACGTTTTAGTAAAAGATTTAAAAATCGTTAGATCTCCGCTGACGTCACAAATTCTAAGGGGGCATGCCAATGCACTAGCCCCTTAGAATCCGAAAACTGCAAGTTTGAAATTCCA